CCCAAATCTCCCATGATTGTGGCTCACATTTGGTGTGAGTCAGTGAGAAACATTCCTGAAAGTTCATGTGTCCTCACTGACCAAATGCCAGTGGCCAGCAGGCAGCAGCATTTTGCAAACACCAACTTGGTGCATTAATACAACATCACGTGCTGTTACTAGGGTAACACTACATTAGCTTCATGTAATACCTACAGGAGCCTTCATGAGATGTCATGTATAAAGATGAACTGCAGTTAGCTTTCACCTTCCTGTGCAGTTTATCTTTCTGTGAACATGCCCATCCAGCCTTGATGCAAATTTCTATTACCATGCTTTAATACAAATGCAAGGCAAAATATTGCCAAGTTTAGCTTTGTTCATCAGATGTATTTCAAAAGCTGAAACTCTGTGTGAGCATCAGTGTGCACACACCTCAAGACAGGGACATTCTTTACAGTATCTTCAGCTTTAGGCACATCTGGCAGCAGCAGCAGCAGGGAGACACTCCTGACTTTTCAGGATTACAAAGGTGTAGGAATGCTCTGTGTAGTGACAGACCACAGAAATACAGACATAGAAAAGCTGCACAGGAACAAACAGGCTTTTTTTTCCAGGGTTAAATTCTACTTTTACAAGTCTGAAAATGACAGTATTTTCCCAAGGCTGATGTCTCATTCTTCCTCTAAGATTTACTCTGTAGTTTCCTCTTAGCCAAGTTTCATACAAAGATGGGTCTGCTGAGATTGGTCCCAGTTTACATCACTGTGAATCTGAAGTTTTTGTACCTCCATCACTTTGCAAGCTACATATTCTGATTCACTCTATGAATCCTGCCTTTTTTGAGGGTAAGTGAACATTCCAGGATGGTTATCTGCTACAGCACATTTGATTTTTATTTCACTTTAACACTGGATCATCCTCTGGTTGTTTGCATAAACTCTTGGGTACCTGAATGAGGGTCTGCCAGCTTCACCCTGTTTGTGAATGATGAATCTATTGACAGCAGTCGGTTTTAACAGGGAGTTCCTGAACAGCTTCCATGCACTTTGTGGTTCAGTTGTCTTAGAATACCCAGGTATGTCAGATCTGAGTAAGCACCAGGCCAGTGATCTGCACACAGGCATTAAGCCCTTATGTTTAATATCCACATGCATACATCAGCTCTGCAATTTATGCACTACAGCTCCAACATCCTCACTTACTGCACATGCCACACAGAGACAGTCATCCCAAGTGCAATTAATCCAGGGGACTTGCTTTCTTGGCCACATTACAATTGCTCTTTCATTTAAAACATTATATTGTTGGGTTTTGGGGGTGTTTTGTTGTTGTTGTTACTTTTTCTCCTGATACATCCCTGCAAAGCATTTTCAGTCAATGAAATAATATTTTTGAGGTTAGATTTGGACATACTTTTCCCACCTGCCCTAACTGTAGCTTTAATATCTGCAGTTTATTTTTAGTATGAACAGATATAAGTAAACTACAGTAAAAGCACTGATTTATGCATTCTGGTGGATAGGTCTACAAAGCCTGAAAGCAGTTACTGCTCAGCCATTTGAGCTGCTACTTTTCCCGAGGTTGCTTCTGTAGAAGACAGAATTTGACAGAACACACAAATTCCACAATTTAGAAAAGTCAATTGAAGTTAGCTATTGTAATTTACTCTCTAGTACTTAGACGTGTATTTTCCAGGAAACTGAACCTTCTTCCCTTACTTTGCTGCTCCTTTATATGCTTATTTTATTTCTTTCAAATGAAAGAGATCTGCTACAGATGGTTTGAAGCTTTTAAAGAAATTCTGCTGTGTTTTAGTGCCATCACAGAAATTAAAAAATAAAGCAGCTGTTATAAGTAAGAGTAAACAAAACGAAAGATCTTCACTGATGCTTCCAGAACTAAGGGATATCTTAATTCTGTTGAAATGCTGCTGGCTTTTCATTCATGCGAGACCAGACAGCCACACCAGCCTTTCTTTTGGCAGCACAAGCACATTTTAAGGGAGGTTATATGTGTTGGGTACCACTGAGTGCTGGGGCTTGAACCCCACCTGAAAGATGCCCCGGGCTGTAATGAAATCTGTTACCCCACTGGATACACAGAGGTGGCATCCAAGGGATGAGGGAACCAGGATAAAGAGCATCCTGTGTGGAAAGCAGGTGCGGGCTTAAACAGGAGTGGTGCAAGGAACAAATAATCTGTATTGTTGAAAAAGCAGTAAGTGTGCTCCCCTTTCTCTCTGTCTTACATGCCCCTGTCATAGATCGTGCCTAGTCTTGGTGCAAGGTTGGGGATGAGCCCCTGGTGCATTTGGCGGCTCATCCCTCTCCCCTGCACTCCCCAGCCTTCCACCTGCCCTCTCTGAGGCCTTGGCACTGCCACAGCACCTGCACTGCCGTAGGCTGGTTGGAAATGGGGATGGCGGCAATCCTCTCTCCACCCCCGCTGCCTCTGCCGTGACTGGAGGAGAGTGGGGAGGTGCGGCCAGCAGGGCACCATCCATCCGTCTCTGCATCCATCCCTGTATCCATCCATCCCTGTATCCATCCATCCCTGTATCCATCCCTGCATCCCTCCCCTTCCCTGCCAGCCCGGCCGCGGCTGCGCCTGCCCCGCAATG